GTAGAAGCGTCAACATGAAACGATGACGGTCTAATCGCAGTCGAAAACACATCAGCAGCAGCGATTGTAACCTTACCACATTTACCATTTGCTTCGTCCATCTCGGGTTGGGCATTGCAATCGCGCAGACCTGCCCAACTAACTGCAGCTGATTCTACTGCTAAGAAAGGGCAGTGCATGGCCTACGTGGTGCATGAAGCGCTCTTGCTCTTCTTTTCCACGCTTCAGCTCAGAGGAACTTGCCCGGCGTCGGAGGAGGTGCTCGCCAGCTTGGGCAGCTGGTGCCAAGCACTCAAGGCTGGGTTAAGGTAACGATAATTATAATTACTTATAACCCCAATTAAGGTACTTATAACCTTATACTTTATAAGTCCCATGATCCTCCTAGGGTTCTCAGGTTGTTCAAAATTTTTTTAGAGGTCAACGGCGCCATATGGATTTCGGAACTACTTCGAGTCGACTACAGACCAACGTGTGCTTGCAAGCCGGCCAGCCTCGGTAAACAGCTTCACATGAAGAATACGTTCGTTGACACAACATTTTTCGCACATGGATGCATGCACGTGGGCTCATATATATATATATATATATATATGCACGCACAAAGTCCCGCGCGAAACCCGCGCGAAGGGCGCGTGTGAAGCGCGCGAAGCGCGGGGCGTGCGAAGGGCGCGAAGCGCGCAAAAAGCCGCGTGAAGAGCCGCGCGAAGCCAACCGAAGGGCGCGAAGCGGCGCGAAGCCGCGCGGAGGCGCGCGAGAGGCGCGTGAGATGCGCGAAGCGGCGCGAAGCGCGCGAAGCAGCGCGAAGCGCGCGAAACGCGCGAAGCGCGCGAAGGTGCGCGGAGGCGCGCGAGAGGCGCGAACCGGCGCAAAGCGCGCGAAGGAGCGCGGAGGCGCGCGGAGCGGCGCGAAGCGCGCGAAGCGCGCGAAGCCCGCGAAGGTGCGCGGAGGCGCGGGGAGGCGCGCGGAGCGCACGAAGCGCGCGAAGCCGTGCGAAGCGCGCGAAGGCGCGCGGAGGGGTGCCATCAGAGGCGCGCGAGAGGCGCGAAGCGGGCGCGGAGGGGCGCCAGAGGCGCGCGAGAGGCGCGAAGCGGCGCGAAGCGCGCGAAGCGCGCGAAGCCGCGCGAAGCGCGGGAAGGCTTGCGGAGGGGTGCCATCAGAGGCGCGCGAGAGGCGCGAAGCGGGCGCGGAGGGGCGCCAGAGGCGCGCGAGAGGCGCGAAGCGGCGCGAAGCGCGCGAAGCGCGCGAAGCCGCGCGAAGCCACGCGAAGCGCGCGAAGAGGCGCCACAGAGGCGCGCGAGAGGCGCGAAGCGCGCGAAGCGCGCGAAGGCGCGCGGAGGCGCGCGGAGGCGCGCGGAGGCGCGAAGCGCGCGAGGCCGCGCGAAGCGCGCGAAGCCACGCGAAGCCACGCGAAGCGAAGAGGCGCCAGAGGCGCGCGAGAGGCGCGAAGCGCGCGAAGGCGCGAAGCGCGCGAAGGCGCGCGGAGGCGCGCGGAGGCGCGCGCGAGGCCGGCGAAGCGCGCGAAGCCACGCGAAGCGCGCGAAGAGGCGCCAGAGGCGCGCGAGAGGCGCGAAGCGCGCGAAGCGCGCGAAGGCGCGCGGAGGCGCGAAGCGCGCGAGGCCGCGCGAAGCGCGCGAAGCCACGCGAAGGCGCGCGAAACGCGCGAAGCGCGCGAAGCGCGTAGGGCGCGCCCCAGGGGGACCATACTCGAACAATGACAGATCCAACGCTTTGCATGCGGCGTTGGCAGCCATATTGCCGGGGCAGACATGCAGCCTTCTGCCTCAACATGCCAGGCACTGGTGGCCTCTGCCGGAATACCAAAATCGGGCAGGATCTAACAGCAGTGCTCGTGGATCACAAACTGTTGTTTATTGACGCAACTATGCCGAGTTGAGCCGAGCCAAGACCAGCCTAGCCTAGCCGGGCTGAGCCCAGCCGGAGCCGAGCCGAGCCAAGCAGCAGTATCCGTAGCAGCGGCAGAGTGGCATCCCCGTAAGCAGTCCCTTCCCGTACGAAGGCTTCAGGGCGAGCAGCACTCGCTGTGTCCTCCGCACATACAGGATGCTCCCCACCGGGCCAGGGCCTGCGCCACCTTAGATTAGCAAAGGGAAAGCTTGGCCGAAAGGAATGCAGCACAGGGAAAACGAGCTGCTCGAAAACGGCACCCCGCCCTGACCCGAATCCCGTTGTGGTCGTCTCAGTAGCATGCAGCAGCCGTCGTGTCAGTAGCAGTAGCAGACGCCGCAGCAGCAGCAGTAGCAGTAGCAGTAGCAGTCGCAGTCGCAGCCGCAGCCGCAGCAGTAGCAGCAGCAGTAGCAGTAGCAGTAGCAGTAGCAGTAGCAGTAGCAGTAGCAGTAGCAGTAGCAGTAGCAGTAGCAGTAGCAGTAGCAGTCAGTAGCAGTAGCAGTAGCAGTAGCAGTAGGAGTAGGAGTAGGAGTAGGAGTAGGAGTAGTAGTAGTAGTAGTAGTAGTAGTAGTAGTAGTAGTAGTAGTTAGTAGTAGTAGCAGTAGTAGCAGTAGTAGCCGTAGTAGCAGTAGTAGCAGCAGCAGCACCAGCAGTAGCAGTAGGAGTAGTAGCAGTAGCAGCAGCAGTAGCAGTAGCAGTGGCAGTGGCAGTGGCAGTGGCAGTGGCAGTGGCAGTGGCAGTGGCAGTAGCAGTAGCAGGAGCAGGAGCAGGAGCAGGAGCAGTAGCAGTAGCAGTAGCAGAGATTTCAGAGTATGCATTGTGAATTGCGAACACGGTGCCTTACAAAATATGCACTTAGGATGCGTCCCATATGTCCGCATCAGAGCCTCGAATCTTCAAAGATTGCATGCTCAACGAAATGACCCCCGACAGAAGACATGCTGAACAAAATGCCAGTGTTGTTTGTGTAAGACTGAAGGAACTCCCGCAGTATACATAAAGGTACATGCTATGTAGAACTATACGTTCACATACCCCAAGCTCTATTCTGCCTACTAAAACACGCATCCGGTAGAACCTTGTGTTGCAGAACTTTACAGGATCCTTATTCTGATCATTAAAGTCCCCATGTTCATTACTTTACAACCCATAACCTGAGCCGTCCCTGGGCCCAACCCTAAACCGTATAAAGTTAACCCCGAGCTCTACAACTCCAAAACTCGAATCCAGGGGCTCAGAACGAGAGTTTGGTTCCATTGAGGGCGCTGCGTCTTAAGGGTTCCATAGGGAGCTTGGTGTAAGGGTTCCTTATCAAGGTTTTCTGATATATGGGGGTTCATTGTTGAAAGAGGTTTTGGCACCATGCTGACTATGCTATCATTCTTGTTGGGCTATATGGGAATTCCCTCACAAAGCCGAAGCCTAAACCTTGCGCACCTTGAACCCGAGACCCTCAAATCCTAAACTTTTAGACCCTGAATGTAAACCCTGAACCTTAAACCATAGACTCCTATATTATTTAAAGGGTGAAATCCGCAGCCCTGCACCTTGGCTTGAGCTCGCCACAAAGCAAGGAAGGAGGGATTGGGACAGGCCCTGTGGGCGCATCCTGGGGCGCATCCTGGAGCCACAATATGTTGATTTGAGTCCAGCATTCATTGTACTGGTTGTCCAAAGGTGTTCCAAGGATTGCATAAAGCACCAACTTTGGTGATGGGTTTGGGCTTCAGGCGTCTGGGAGTTGAGTTTGCCGCTGAGGTTTAGGGCTGTAAAGGTTTTGGTTTAGGGGTTGACGCTTGGTTCCGAAAGTTTCATAGTGTTCGTTTCCAGGTGCAAAGGACACTGTCTGCCGTTGCAAAAAGAGATTTTTCTTTGAGTTGAAGCAAACGGGGGACAAATAGTGTCAAACAGTAGGATGATGTTGGACTCCTTGTTACAAGCCCTAGATGAGGTATCCCAAATGTTCTGCAAGAGGCTCAATTGGGCTTCTGGGAGAGAAGCGAGTCCCTTTGTACAAAGGCGAGCAGGCCTCCTTCCTAAGCGGCTGTCGCCAGTCATGCGGCCCCTCCTAAGCGACGACTTCACCCCCTTTGGGCAGCTTACTCTAATTACCTTAAACCCTGAACCTTAAAGCCGAAACCCGATCTGTGAAGGCTTTCGGGTTCAGCATGTAGGACTTTCAGCTTGCCTGTTGGGCTTTTGGTGCAGGTTTCAACTTTCAGGGTCTGCGGTTGGGGGGGGTTTAGGGTAGGATGTTTGACTGGAGTTCGGGGATGCGAAAGATGCTTGTAGTTTTGAGTTCGTGGTTTGCTATAGTGTTGAACGCTGAAGCCTAAGCCTTCAACCTTGCGTTTAAGGGTTAGGGTTTAGAGTGACTGTTTAGAGTGTAGGGTTGAAGGGCTAATATACTTCAGGCCATGAATAGCTTTGGAGTGCTGTCGACGCAGAGGGACCTCTTTTGAACGCGATGCCGCTAGTCTTGGCATTGGTGCACACGCCGCCCTGGGCCTGCCGACGCCTTCGCAAAGAAAATGGGAGTTTCAGAAAAGCAGGGACGGCTTTTTTCATCCAGGGTCCTCATCATGTATAAAGTTACTAGCAGCACTTTGACTTTTCCAACCCTCTAGTTATGTCATGCTTGTGATTTATGTGATGGCTTTTAATCTTGAACCTTACATGTCTGTCATTTTTGTTGGTCGCTGTTGATGTCTACGGCTTAATTGTTGGATTGTAACTTGACTTGTTGATGCCCCACTCGTCTTTCACACCCTGAATCGGCCTCAGGAAAGCCTGAAGCTAAGCCCCCCAGAACCCCTAAACCCTAAACCGATGAATTGAACCCTAAATTACAGCTCGAACCCTTGCTGCCACTGCGCAGCTACGGATCCGACCCTGAACCCAATTAAACTAAACACCGAAAGCTTTGAATCCTAAACCTCAATCCTGAAGCCAAGCAGACCTATTCCCTAGACCCTGCAAGCTCCAGACTCCTGAAAGCTCTACCCTCAAGACCTTTTGGAGTTCCCCAAATAGTAGTGGGGTCCTTATTAGTATAAGGACCCAAAAATATGAGGTTGGTCCATGATTGGCAGGTCGGTCTCCGGCCCTTGGTTTCCCTCATTCGCTTGAGGGACAAACTTCAGGTTCGTCCGGGCCTGTTTGGGCTCGGGTTTCCGGTTTAGGGTTCAGGGTTTAGGGTATAGGGTTGCCGGTTTAGGGTTCGGGGTTTAGGGTTCTGTGGAAAGGAGCATGCGGCGTAGGTCTGTGCTGGCAAGACTCCTCACTCTGAACCCGAAACTAAATCCAAAACAGGGCTTAAGGTTAAGGGTGCGAAGGGCTTTGGTGTTGGCGTTGTTCGGGTTCATATAGGGGCCTCAATCATAGTAGGACGGGTTCAGGTTCAGGGTAGAAGATAGGATAATTGTAACAAGGAGCTCTGAGAAGTACTAGTGTATACCTGATAGTCTTATCTCAGTATAGCTATAGGAAGGAGCCCTTATGTAGGAGCGACTATATGTATATGTATATGTATATACCCTTAACCCTAAACCCTAGACCGTATATACACATGCATACGCGCATTTACGGATGCTTGGCAACTTTTGGCTTTCGGGGCTTTTGGTTGGCAGTCGGCAGAGCTTCCGGGATGCGGGGCTTAGGGTTTAAAGGCTTAATTACCTGCCCAAGAGACCTCCCTTTTCATGGAGCTATATATAGAAACCATAATAAGGAACCCTAAACAGGTAGGTCTTTTCGGCTACAGGTAGGGTCCAGGATGGGTTTGGACGTCCAGAGTTTGAGTCATCGGCCTTTGAGTGGGTTTTGTTTGACATTTCGGGTGTATGAGATTGTCATGAATTGGGGTCGGGTGCGTTTTATGTGTCGGGGCTTAGTGCAGCCTGCGAGAGCCTAGCTTCGACTCAGCTGTTTGAGGCTTGTGACGGGTTTGTTTGCTTCTGGTCCAGCGTTTAGGTCCTTAGGTTGGTCTGCAGGTGAGCAGGCTTTGCAATGCTCGTGTCGTGTTTGAACCAGGTAGGCAGCTGGTACAAGAGATGGTGCTATGCGGATGTTTCGCCTTGCTCGCAAACGCAGGATCGGACGTCAACAAAACGTCTGAGATTTGCGGCGACCGGACCCGGAAGCCCGGGCCCGCAACCTCAATCCCCACAGCCCTAAGCGTCAGTCGAAATCGTGGCATGGCAGTAGCAACTGCTGCAACGAAAAGCGCAATCAGTTCCTTGGCCGCAGCAGCAACAGCAGGGACACCGACAGCAACCAAAGCAACCGCAGCAAGCAGAGTAAGCACAGCAACCGCTCATAGCAACCACAGCAACGACCACAGCTACCAGAGCAAGGACCACAGCAACCACAGCAACTTGAACAATCTTTATATTTTTTTATTGTTTTTATTTTGTTGGTTAGTTTTTTGGTTAATAGTCACGATAGATGTTTTGGTTAGTTATTTGTTTAATAGTCACCAGAACATTCACAGCATCGACAGCAACAACAGCGACAACAGCAGAAGCAGCAGCGGCAGCAAGAGAAGCAACGGTCCCCCACCGCAACAAACAGCAACAGCAAGGGCAAAGCATCATGCCCGTACTTGGAGGATCATGGGACTTACTAATTAAGGGTATAAGTAAAATAATTGGGGTTATATGTATAGTTACCCTAATTATAGCCCTAGTTACTAAGTCCCATGATCCTTTAAGTAAGTGGCAGATCGGCGATGATGAAGATGTGGAGCAGTTGGAGGATGGAGATGAGCTCGAGGCAACGTCGGGTTTGGTCGTGTTGAGGGCTGAATACATCAAGGTCTGCTTTCGTCAGGTCGGGTGCGTTGCCTGGTGTGTGTGTGTGTGTGTGTGTGTGTGTGTGGGCTTCTTAGGCCTCCCCTGGCTTCTAGCGGTCTTTCTTGCTGGCTGCGCAGTCACACACAGGACTTGGGCGGCTAACAAGGTTAACTTGCAAGCGGCCTGCAACCAAGTACCCTCAACCTTGTTCTGCAATGGCCAAGAACCGGCGAATACATGTCATTACCCAGGCCTCCAGTCAAATAATGGTATAATGGGTTAATTACCGGGGTGCATAATTCATGGTTGGTAACCCACCATTTTAGGTAACTGGAGCCCCAGCGATTGCTTCTTGCAGCGGTCAGGGGCTCCTACATGCCTGAACCTAAGCCCTACATCCTTATCTAGGCAGCTGAGCTCTTACACCCAAAACCCGGAATCCTAAGCCCTAAACCCCAAAGCATGAGACCTTAAACTACTAAACCTCTCTTACACCCTGCGTGCTGATGCGCTGACGATGGTGAACACCAGTCCGCGGATGAAGACCCGTACGTCGTTCTCAGATCCAGATCTTGCCTGGGAGTGTGGAGCTTCGAAGGTATGGGATTTCAGGTTTCCAGGGTCGGTTGGTTTACCTTTGGTGACTAGGGAATGGAGGAATGGGGTGCAAGTATAACTACTATTACTACCATTCTTCCATTCCCTACTGACCTAAGGCCTAAGGTAAGTTGAGGAACGATTGGGCTCCCGACCAGGCGACCTTTGCTGCCGTCACGAGGGAAGCGTCGTAGCAGAGAGCGAAAATGTCGTTGAGCTCGAGAGCCTACTATAGGGGCCTAAGTAATTACCTATTACTATTCCTTAGGGTTCCTTTAAAGGGTTCCTTACAGGGGTCTATAAGGGATCTATAGTAGGATTTTATGGTACAGGGGCTTCAACATGTACCAATCCTATTTTTGGGGGGTTCATTTTTGTATCTATAGTTTTATGGACCCCGAAACCCTATTCTAATTGCTGAGGCCCCTTTGTCACACCCCAAAGGAGTTATAGGGTTCGTATTGGCTGTTTTCTCATGACAGCTTGCCTATTGTATTTATGGATTTATGGACCCCGAAACCCTTTTCTAATTGCTGAGGCCCCTATAATACACCCCAAAGGAGTTATAGGGTTCGTATTGGGCTGTTTTCTCATGAAAGCTTGCTGGACCCTCTGCAGTCTGCTTCAGGGCTTGGCTTCAGGATTTAAGGTTCAAGGTTCGGGATTTAGTGAGTTCCGTGGCCAAGGGTCAAGGACATAGCCCTTCGGGTATGTTTCGGATCAGATCACGATTTCGATTTTTGTAGTGTTCCAGAACATGCGCAAACTATGACATGATACCTACGTTCTTTCGAGGCATCATCTACAGAGCATGACATACGAGGAAGCCAATCTGCCCAGAAGCTATCGAATAGGACACTCAAATGCCTTGATAATACAAGATAGAGCCGCACAACCGAACACAATACGATTTGCATAGCCATTTGGGAGTTTCCGAAAATGGGGGATCCTGATATAGTACCTTAAATAGTAGGTTGCTTATTATAAGGACCCCAAAAGAAGGTACCCCTACTTTTCGGAAACCTCCATTTCGTTGACCTCGTCAACCTTTTGCGGACCGTCTCCGACTGCACGAGAGATAGCTGAGCATCCATGACGAGAAGAACTGAAGGTAGCTCCCGGATCCGCTTTAGACACCAAAATTAATTCAGGGATACTTCCACAGAGTCACGTACCAAAAGTTCCTAGGATATGTGAACTACAATAGGCCTGCAGGCACACCGCCCCCTTGATTTCCAACATCTCTGCAGCTTAGGTGCGTTGCCTGAATGAGCCGGCATTGAAACTCATCGCTTCCTCCGAAACCCCCAAGAACACGTCGAATTCTCAGTGCTTAGCACGAAGTTTGGATGCTTGAGCCTCATGCCTCCGCCGCGCATTTGCCTCGTTCTCAGCGGCAGGAGTTGGACAGTGTTTTCGATTGTTTGAATGTTCATAGGGGCGGCATTGGTGATGCTGATAATGGTGAGCATGTAACTGGTGTCTTCGTCATGACGATGTCGCAGGCACCAAACTCCATGATTCTGAACCGGCGTTTACGGCCCTGAACCCTAAGCCTACACACCCCATATCCGAACCCTCGGCCATAAACCCTGCACCCCAACGCCCCAAAACCCAAATTTCGGCTGAAGGGCTTCCAGGGCGCTGCAAAGTTGGCTTTTGGTTTCGGGGGTTCGGATCGGGGGTTGGGTCTTTCTGGTTTGGGGGTTCCGGGATGTGGGATGGGGTGTAGGGTTTTAGGCTTTAGGGGTTTCGGGTATAGGCAGTTTAGTGTTTAGGGATTCGGCCCGGCGCGTATGATTCGGGTGTATGGTTGCAGGGTTTTTTGGATTCAGGGTTTAGGGTTTAGGGTTTAGGGTTCAGGGTTTAGGGTTTAGGGTTCAGGGTTTAGGGTTTAGGGTTTAGGGTAGTTTAGGGGTTGGGGTTTTTGGTGCTCTACGTCTGTCCGCCTGGGGTCAGTGAGGGCCTGCCGACTCCGATGGCTATTCTAGGGCCTAGGGATTAGTAGGGTTTAGGGTTTAAGGCCTAGGGTTTAGTTAGCAGAACCCTTGCCCATTTTGGGTAATAATACCACCAGTCAACCCATTAGACGATTATTCCTATACTCCCCCCTACACCTCACCAACTATATCACTACTACTTCCTCATTACCAAGACCAGTATAGGAATAACCGATTACCTCATCCATATAAGAGGATTATTCCTATACTCCCTAACACTTCCCCCCAAATATCACTGCTACTTCCCCATTACCAAGACCAGTATAGGAATAGCCAATTACCCCATCCATATTCCCTAAGGTGGTATTATTACCCAAAATGGGCAAAGGTTCTCTCATAGAGGTTACTAGGTTTAAGGTTAAAGTTTTAAAGGTTGTGTGTCATCAGACGTGCCATTCTGCCACGGTGTGCTCAAGACAAACTGCTGCTATTCGTTCCTACCTATGGCGCACAAACTCCAATCAGCACTTATCATCTCAAACAGCAGGAATAGGCAGATAAGACGTGAGGAAGCCCTGCGCACTTGTGTGCTGACATGGCGGAGCATCCTAGCAAAAAGGCGAGGGTCAACGAGCCCGACTGGAGCGCAGAGTTGGCAGAAGCAAAGTCAGACTATCGAGCAGCCAAGGAGTCGCTGGATGGAGAATTCCAGAAAAACAGCCCAAACCAAGGATACGTCGATCATTTGAAGCAGACACTGCAGGATGCACAAAAGCGCATCGAACTGCTCTTGCAGAGGCAATCCCAGCAACCGGAGGCGCGCGAGTTTCCAACGTTTAGGCATTCATGTTTCAAGTTTCCTTTCCCCGCTTATTCCCACTACTTAGTCACACTTAGTCCCCTTAAGTAGTTCACGCTAGGCGGTTTGGTCCTTGCTAGGATATTTATTGCTTGCTTAGTTTGGTGGTTTCGGGATGTGGTTCTTAGCGCTGTAATCGTTGCCTTTATTTTTTCCGTTTCCAGGATGTCTCCGTGCTGCAGAGAATTCACGAAGACCTCATAGAGGTGAAAGCAGAGGTGAAGGCGACTTGCGCGCTCCAGATGAAAATGGCGACAGTTTCTGCAGTCACGGAAAGCGCAGCGGCTACGCAGACGCGAGGCACTGCCTGGCACAGAAAAGTTGTGGGCTATTTCGACTTCCATCAATGCATGGTGTTGTCGCAGTTGTTTCCTGATGAGCGGGGTCGTCCGAGCTGGTTCAACGAGCGAGATGCAGGTGACGATTTCCGCAGAGCACAAGGTCCGTTCCCCGCAGTTGCCGAGCACATCATCCCCAAAGGAGATATCAGCGTGGGCAAAGCATGGCAAGTGGATGTCCATGAGGAATGCAACGGTCTGCTCTTGTTACGCCATCTTGAGCGAAAGTAATTATCAAGCGGGCAAATGGAGCATGTTGCCTGTGCCAGATGGTCCCAGCAAAGGCATGTTTGAAATCTTTGTGTCGCAAGAGATTCGTGAGGACACAATCATGTATTACCCCATCGCTGGTGAACCGACCCATCGCGTCAAAGTGGGCGGCAATCCGTTGCAATTCAAGAGCCTGCACGGACAGAAAATTGAGATCATAGGCAAGTACCAGGCAAATCCATCACTTCGTTCTTTGTTCTTGAAGGCTGAGATGGCACATCGGGTAGACAGGATGCTCCCTCACCCTGCCACTCGTTTAAAGGCATATCAAATCAAGTGCGGAAAGATGAACCAGCCGAACTGGACCATATGGCAAAAGTCAGTGCCTGACAGGTCTTTGCCTGTTGTGCAGGAGGTGCATGACGACTAATCCGTGACGCGTGCTCTTTCTGAGGAGAAAATGCACATCAGCCGCAGTTTTTTGTTTCCGAAAGCAACCCCCTAACCCGACCCGCGTTTTTTCTTTCGACAAAAGGGCTTGTACATATGAACAGTAATACAGAATACTGAACAAAAACAGGCAAACAATTGACTACTTAGGGGTAGGGCTCTTTTGGCGGCGATCTTGGCACAAAATGACACAATAAAAAAGTAACACTTTTGTTATTCAATCAAAGTCATTAGTTTTTAGGTAATCTTCGGAGATTTTCGGAATGTTTTTTTGCGTCTTCAACCATTGTTCTATCGGCTTATACGTAATATGTGCATCCAGATATTTTTCCCATGTGTATCCGTCGTTGTATTCAACTCGTGACAATTTTTTGTTTTACTACTGATGATGTATTATTTGAATACATTATATGTTCAATACTGTTGTGTCCTTGTCTGTTTTCAATGTAGTCACATATCTTCTTTATAATATTGGACATTGGTTCAATACGGGGGTTTATATAATCACAAAACCGTTGTTTAGTATCCGATCGTTTCTTGAATGTTTTGTCGTATTCTGTTATTGATTTATTCCGCAATTTGGTATAATATGTTTCTATACCATCGCTACCATTCCATAATGAATTATAACAGTTCCTAATTTCATTATGGATTTTCTGATTGTAATCGCCAGTGTCACCATTTAGTATATGATTTACAACTTTTTTGTATGTTGGGAATGGGTTTAAATTCACATAATAATAAATGTTTGTGTTGCCTTGTTCTTTTGCACTTTCTCCATACTCTTGTATTTTACACATATGTTTATCTTCAATTGCTTCAATGGTATTCTCAAACTTCTTCATGCTACAACCGTAAACGTGACTTTTTAATGTTTTTAGTGTTGTGCATGTCTCGCATTCTTTGCAATTGAATTTGCATATTGTTTTAATTGCACTTTCGGGTATTGGCAAGTTATACAAATTAAGATTTTCTTCTGTAAACTTACACTTGCGACACATACTCACTTTTTCATTTATATATGCTTTCATTTGAATAGCATTTACGAACTCGTTAATGATTTCTTCCTGTTCTTCTTCGGTGAACATTTCTATTATAATATAATTACATATTTTTTCTTTAAATACTTTTCTGAAGAATGTTTATTCTAAAGAATTTTTAACTTTTAATAATTCAAATCTCAAATAAGGTCTGTCCATACCTTCCACATAATAATGACTTTGACTTAATTTCTTTTCTATTCTTTCTATTGTATACACATTTTTAGTGAAATTTCCTACCCTTTCCTTCTCATTCGGTTTTCGCTTCCTGAATATCTTGACTTCGTCACCTTTGTCAAGATCCGGATATATCCTATTCCGTTTACCACTACTCGCAATATTCAACCTGACGCTTAATTCGTTACTGGGTTTTCGTGCCTCTTTCGGCGTGAATTTTGTGGCGGAATGTATCATTTGGTTATTATATGTCAGCAATATCTCGTAAATATAATCAGTCCATTGAATATTGCTTTTGCCCTTTTTCTCGTCATGCTTCGCATGAGATTCGTTCCTCTCGTCAGCCTCAACTCTTTTGTATAACATGTCCTTAAAGTTCTGATTGCCCTCTCACTAAAATTTGCGTGTGCCCTTGTCCTGTGGTGCTCTATTTTCTGCTTCTTTAAATATGTTTGTATAGCTTCTTTGGATAAAGCACCTTCATCGTCAGTATATAGTATTTTAGGCTTTTTTCCCATCTTATGCAAACACTCAATCATACCACTCGCTAAATCCTCCTCTTTTTTGCCTTTTATTGCTACCACATGCATAAACTTGTCAAAGACATCTATCATGATCATGCCAACCTTGAACTTTTGATCTTCCAAATCATTTATAAAGAACAAGTCCATTTGATACTCGTATGCCGAATGTGGTGCTACAAAACTGTTCTGTCCCAAAGGTTTTCTTTTTGCCTCAACGTTCTTCTTGAAAAACTCATTGACATCGTCAATAGTTATACTTTTGTCTTTCTCTCGTGCTTCCTTTAAGGTCCGGCTTCTGCTCCCATATCCCGCGCGATCGTAATACACATCATTAATTATTTCTTGTTTACTCATATATCTACAATACAAAAATATTGATTTAATCTTATTTCTAAAATTAAATCAACATTCTTCTGTTTTCATGGGCATCACAACTTTAACATTATTCATGTCATACTTCGGTCCTTTCTTATTCTGACTGCTGTTGAATTCTGCCAGTTGCTCTTCGGTTAAATCCTCTATTGCGGTATTAACATTGTTGTCTTTTAGATATTGCTTTAGCTTCTTCTTTTGAATGCACTTCAAGGCAGAATCGCGTTTTTTCTGCATATATCCTTCCTCCTGTCTTCGCTTGTAGTAATACAGTCGGTTGTAAATTGCCAACTGTTCTCTTATCTCTTCTATGGTCATATCCTCTGGGGTTTTCATAGACTTATTACTATACTATATATTATAATATTTCTTTAGGTGAATTTTCTGAACGAAATTTCGCAAAAAATGTTTAGTTTTCAAAACTTATCTTCAGAAAAACATTTAAATAAAACTTTTTTATTATATAGTTATATTGACATGAGTAAGACCATCCAGCGTGGTGTAAAAGCATTAGAGACAGTGTATGATTTTTATAAAGGCAGACTTAACGGTGCAACCAAAACAAAAATCAGAAATATCATCGGTTTATATGATGACAGAAAAATAGCACAGTTCACAACAGCAGACAAACTAATAAGGAACTTCATCACTGCCAAGACAGACCAACAAAAACAAAAGGCAAGTGACCAATACAACAAGGTATACGAAAAACACAAGGAAAAGAAACCACTGGGAGAAAAAAAGCAAACAGCAAAGCGTGACAACAAACTCACAGAAATCCGCAGACGACTAGCGCAGAAGACCGCAGTTCAGCGAATACAGAAGAGGGTGAGAGCGGAACAATCCAAGGAAACACATGCATATTCCGTAGACCTTATGTTCTTCAAATTTAAACTCCCCAAGGATACCATCAAACCATCCTTCAAAGACAGCAAGGGTAGACCCCTAATCCCGATCTGGTATGAGACTAAGAGAGCAACTATACAAACAACAGACTATATAGAAGACTTATCGGGCAGACGTGTGTTTCAATACGAGACCAAAGACAGGTATGTTTTCAAGAAACTATTGAAAACAATAATGTCTGACCCAGATATGGAGGAAACCCTTCGCTTCGTCCATTCCTATATAGTGTGCATCAAAGTTAAGGATGTAGACAGAGTAGATGGTGACACTGATTTTATACCAGTGGACGAGAATTTAACTGACACCTCTCATGTGAGCATGTTCCACAGATACATACAAACACCACTAAACCCAGAATGCGAAACACTAAAGGAAGCAATCAAAGTAAACCACTACCAAGAAAACCAGTGTTGGTTGAACACCATAACCGATTACTATAAAGACACACTTATGGGAGAAAAACGCAGAGAAAAGAACAGGCAAACCAGACAGAGCATGTTGACCCTGATAGGTAAGTCAGAAGAGGATTCTAAAACATCCGGCGCATCAATAAAGGAAATGGTAAAAGTTTTTGAGCACTACAGGATACAAGTCAGAATATACAATGCTTTTGAGAGACTGATTTTTCAGTATGACCCACCCAAAAGAGATCATCATATCCCAACATTATATGCCGTTGTGAAGAACAACCACATATACACAGTAACCGATAATTTGAATGTATTAAGGCAGATGTTACCAAGAAAATCTGGGTATGGTATTTCAGTGAAGGCTTCACCAGATTATCACCTGAATGAGAAGGACGAACCCGTTCAATGTAAAATGATACAGTCACTTAACGACATAAAGAAATATAACGAACATGCTGAGTATACATTGATCTATGATGGTCATGACCTTGCCGAACTCTTTTATGAAAGCAAAAAAGCAGGATACGAACCACAAGTTAAATTCAGTGCAGGTATAGTATCAGAACTTAATTTTAAGTTCAGGATCAAAAAGAATGTCATAAAATACAAAGTTAAGACCCAGAACCTAGTAAACAACTCCGTTGACGGAACTATATCAGTGAGAACTGAGCAGATCTACAACAACATGTCCAAAGCAATGTATGTATTTAATAAGTTCTTGTTCAATCCGCTACATAAGTCATATTATAATGAGATTGACATGGAACTGTTTAAGGAATGTAGAACGATAAACCCAGTGGGTGAGATAAACAGACACTACTTCCAATACAACCCACATACAAACAAAGATGACAAGATGTTTTACATGCCAGAACACACGGTAGAAATTGATATTAGAAAGGCATTCACACATGCTTTTAACAAAATTAAAGAAATCCCTGTCTTCACTCAGTTTGATGTGTGGAAGCACTATGACTATATGAAGCACGATCACAGGAAACTACACGAACTCACATTATACCTAGTAAAAGCAAACAAACCAACCATGTTTTTCAACAAGACTTATGACAACCAGTGTGAGATCATCTACTACAAGCAACCCTCCAGAGTATACAAGGTGGATTACAGAAAGATTACAAAGGAATTGTGGCAAACAGACATTTCGGACAAATACCCCGAAGATGTGAAGATAAAAAAGTTAATAGCCAATGTGAATTTCGGTTTACTGGAGAAGAGCACCAACACTGTATCTAGAAGTTCTGCCTTTGACAGTCTACGGGAAGCATTGTATTATCAACAGCACGTGGGTGGAACAATCAACAAGGTGTCATCGTTTTATGATGAGGAGGTAGATAATGGTAACGATGATGTGGGTGAGCATATAGAGAAGGAGAGTGACAAAAAGTATTATTGCATGACCGTCTCTGACAGAGCCACTCTACGAAATGGATACATTTACATAAAGGAACTTCTTTTACAACACCACAACCACAAAATGCATGAAGACTATAGTACACTGATCACCAACCACATAGATGTATGGAGTGTTAA